AATTGAGGAGATGTCACAGAAATTTAAATTCATCTACTTTAGTTCCTTTATAACACATTTTCTCCAAAGCTTAATGATATCCAAGACTTTTTAGGTTAAAGCACAGCACTGAGATTAAGAAGCCTTTGACACGGCTCTAAAAGCAGCAAGAGAAAAGCCGTTTGCCACTTAAGTTGCTTTTTAAACTTCCACTTCAATATTGAAAGTTAATCCCAGGATACATTTTAAATAACGTTTTTAACCTTTCACTTCTGTATGTTGATTTGTCCAAGGCCAAAAGCAGAGGAGTCAGAGCTGGAATTCTGAGCAGCTCTTTTGGCAAGATCAGGCCCAAGTCCTTCACTCCTGTCAATTAAACAGCACCAAAAGGTGCAAAACTAGAAGGAAGAAATTCCAACTGGTTTTGAACCTGTACCTTGGACACTAAGGCACTGCAGGGCTGGAATGGATGATCCTGGAGGTCTTTTCCTTCTGCAATTGTGGCTCTCAGCACTACCTGGCGCTGGCAGGAAGCTCAAATCCTGCTCCTCATTGCTCTGTGCTGTTCTGGTTTCAGTTAAATCTCATGAAAAGTTTGAGCAGCTTCACCAATTAAGCCAAATTTAAGCTTTGTGTCCAACTAACTGACCTGCTGCTGCAGGGGCTAAACTGGGAGCAGGTGAATTGGAACCACTATGGAAGGGATGGCAGCACCTAAAGGATAAAGCTGCGAGTTGTGAGGGATTTGGAACAGTCACCAAGGAAAAAATACTCCTGGGAAGCATTATTTCCATTCATTAAATTCCTCCCTCCATGGTTGAGCCTTTACATAGTGAATAAAAAGCTTTTCCCACAACTTTTTACTCAATACATCTTGGATATAATATGGGAAGTGATGTTTCCAGTACCTCTGGTGGAGCAGGAAGGCACCGAGTACCAATAAAAAGCTGGAGCTTGACAGAGCCACCAGTTGCAGCCTTAAATCCTGCAGATTTTCAGGAATATGACAAGAACCAAGTGCATTCCCAACTTCTGTCCCTTCCAGAAGTGACCTCACAGCCCTGGGAGGGGGGGGTCACAGGATGGATGGAAAGGAAAGAAGCGAGAAAGTTCTCTGCTTCCGGCTGAAATCTTTGGGATAAAAGGATAAAACCACATGATAAAAACAATTAAACAGCTGATGCAAAATGGAAATGTTCCTGTTAATCAGATCAATCGAATCCAGGGTTAAAGCAGAGCAGATGTTCTGGAGCAGGGTCTAAGTCCAGCCAGGAAAAGTGAGGGAGCTGAGGAGAATGAATGGGAATGTGCTGACAGGACAGGTGAGGAAAGAAAGGCAGCACAAAAGATTTAGGGAACCAAGACCTGGAAAAACTGAGGCAAAGCAGAAATGAAGGGCAAGAACCACCAGGGGGAAAAACATGGAAAAGCAGCAACAACAGGAGGAGAAGAACAGGAGGAGAAGGGAATGAAGTGCCTCAGCATCCAGGAAAGGAGCAACATGAAACACTTCCGTAGAACAAGAGCAAAACTAGTCCTGCCTTGATGGAAACTTGGGTCGTTAACAGGGTTAATTAACCAAAACACACATTTCTCTGCCATCC